GTTTCAACCACTCCTGGTTGATTATGAGCGAAAGCATACCGTTCCAATTTCTGAACTGTTGAACTCAGTTGCAAGTACAGTACTGACAAAGTTAAAACTCCAGTGACGGGTTTAACAAAAGAATAACTATTCACTTTCACTGCATTCCAATGATGTGTTCAATGTCTCACACCCTCAACCATAAGCTAATCCTCAGGGAGAAGGCATTCATCAGTCTGAAATTCAAAGCAACAAAATACTAACTGTAAACGTTTCCCATAAAAGCATTGAAGCCAAGTGCATGCATGCACCTGTCCAACTTACAACAAAAGGGGTGACCAAGTTCCAAGAACAAGGGGTGTCCAAGATATAGGATGTTGTGGACATGTAAAATTATAGGATATTCGCCGGTTCCAATTAAAAGTGTCCAATATAGAGGGGTGTCCAACTAGAGGGGTTTTACTGTACTTATTTCCAGTTAATGATAATGTTCGATTAGCGACAGATGATGAATGTGTCACATAAGACATACTTATAAATGTAACTTATTTTACAGGCTCAAAGTGCAGGGATTATCTGAATAGTTCTCAAGAGGCTAATCATCCCTTAATCACATTCGTTACAATTCGTGGTGCAAAGGTATTACACATAATTAGCAACGCAATGACTGACCCATAACTAGCAAGTCCAAAACTTACCACCTTATATTCAACATTAAATCATGGGAATTTGTTTTTAATTATAAATGAAGCGTTTTAATACCCAATATAAAACCAATAACTTCAATACACAACCCACAAACGTCTTTCCTATTCCAACCTTCGAATTTTTACTCCGAAACCTATCAATACAGTCATACCAACACATACTAGTCAGGCCTTCGTAGTAACTTCATTGTGACGTACGTGCGTATTTGTGGGGTGAGCTGTTATGGTGTGGCAGTGTGAGGAGTGGTCATGCAGCTGTAGGAAATAAGCAAAACACGTTGCAGTCATTAGAAGGCAGTATTGTCACAATATTTTGACAGGTCCGTGAGTTTGCGTTTGTAGAACTGTAATTCTGATACAACTGATTTCTGACCGAAGTTTATGTTTGGTAAGCATACATCAGTGTTGGAACAATAAATACAAGAATTAAATGAAGAATCCTGATTGCATACTCGCGGGCTAGGCTCTTGTATTAGGCAGCCACCTCACGAACGAATACGAGGCTCAGATCTATTGTTTCCAGAACAGTATGAAGTACTTTCTTTGCTGAATCCTGATCAAGAAGTCAGGTTGTGCGGAAAATCCAACAAATGCATTTCAGTGTTAAGGCGTTTTTAACAACAAGAACAATGACGACGACGATAATAATAATATCAGTATAATTATAATAATCCGCTATTGTGTTATATGCTACATCATTTCTTTTACATTCCTCAAATTTAAGTTGTCTGGTTTTGCACTACTAGCCAGATCAGAGCATTCACCACTGAGATTCTCTCTTTGTCTGTCGCCATATAATAGTACTAAAATATTAAAAGTTCATATCTTAGTGCCATGTTGGTTCAAAAACATCAATGAAAAGTCTAAAATTAATGTTCTTGCACCAATTTCCTTTGCAAATGGGAAGTATTTTGTTGAAATTAAACCCATAGGAATGATAGAAAAAATATGTTACACAAATTATTTGTGTATAAAAATGTAACATGCACATACTGGCCCATCTAAAGAGCACCTGCACCAACATTTTGGCTAAATTACATTTGTCTATAATATTATAAATTAGGTTTAATTATTACGAGACATCCACCTGGTTTATTATCTGTATTATATTTTAATCTTTAAAGCTTTTGGTACTCTGACTGGTGGGACTGCCACTTTCAGCTCAGCATTAGTTTCCATAGCTAACATTCCTAGATGCAATGTACGATTAATACTGACATTAAAAATGAAGATGATTGTTTTCTGGGATATCATGCCATGTAGTCTGGTAGAAATTGATTGATTGTACAGCCTCCATCTTTATGGATCAGTCAGATTTTAACAGACTAAATGGTACAACATAACATCCCTGAAATCTCATCACAGTATTAAGAATGTACTGTAAAAAACTTTGGATAATAAGCGGAGTAGCAATATTCTGGTGACCACTCATCATCTGTCCCCCTCCTCACACTCTTAAACCTTTCTCCCCTCCTTTGTATCACACTTTTTTCATGAATGAATCTGAAACCATGATGTTACCAATTGATATATGTTTGTTTAATTGAAAAGTACTAAGTCTCTTTAAGATGGAATTAAATAATCTAAAAAATTGACAGTGGAACCACGGTCCGGAGAATCTGACGTAAATACGTCTTTGTATTTAAATTATATTTAGGCAATAAATACAATGAAAAGAAGTTTATATATTAGCTTTATTCTAAATATTCCCTTTATACATGCTTTACAATTGAGTAAATAGTTTCATTAAGACATTGCTTAATTATCTATCCCTCTTACGTTCAGCATTAGTTTTTGGTATTTTTTTTGGGAACTTCAGGTTCGTTATTTAATACTTCTATTTTTTTACGTTTTCTGTACTGTCTCATATATTCTGCATTATGGACCCTTTTAGCTTCAATGTCATCCATCTTGTTATCTCTGCGTAGTATGACGCAACACACAAACACAGCAGTAGCATGAAGTGTGATGCGCCTTTATCCCTCACCTCAAACTTTGTTCAATTGTAAGAGACCACGATGTCCACTGGCAATGATCAGTTTAATCAAAACTAAAATGGAGAGAGTGGAGGGCAGTATCACAGATTTTTTAACAATTCTTATATGAGAAAAGTACTTGTGATATTCTAAAACATTTTTAACAGCACAAAATTATCTAGTCTATGATGCACTTCTTCTACAAGCAATTCACAGCTTGGCTCTTTCCGCAATAACGAAAGCGGATTGTTGACGACAGTAATGTAACACAACAATGCCAAGTAAACAGATGATGTAACAATTAGTTTCTTAGGTAAAGGAGTGGATTGCAATACGGTTTATTCAGGCAATTATACAGCATGCATGCTCAGCCAATATTGTTGCAGGCGTGTGTTAGAAATTTGAATCCTTTTTCTTGCATTGTTATGCACGCAGGAGTTCATATAAAAGCTGACCATTATCGGTCCATATTTACAAAATTGTTGGTATGGATCTTACACATCTTCGTAACGCTGTTTTTGCTGAATGACCTTTCTGTACAGACATATTTACGTCAAAAATACAAACATGTATTTTAATTTAAAATGTCAGACTGGGGATAGTTTACAAGATGTAATTGGTACTCAATAACATACAGAAATTAAAATGAATCACACAGTGTGAAATAAACTTAATCTTAGTTTTACCCAGTATAAGTTTGGTCATTAGGCTTGCTAACACAGTACTTAATTTAGAATGACATGCTAGTGTTTTGTGAACTAAATTCCAGTATAAAAATTAAGCACTGCTGCATGTTTAAAGTAGATGCTACCTTTCACTACACTGCTATGGCAAAAACATTTTTTTTCCATTTTATCATCATTAATTTAACCCTTTCTGGTCTTAGAGGAAAACTACTTCTAAAATGAATAGATGAGAAAGCTGTTACGCTACAGTTTGAAAGAAAAGTCTGTGTGTCTGTTCATCTACTCATTTCAAGGTTAGCATTTCAGTACAAATCCATAAACATTATAAACAGACACAGTGTGAATAAACCTGTTGTTTACATGAGCAACCCAGCAGTTTATATTCCTTGCCATTTTTAACTAGAAAATGTAAATAAAGAAAATAAGGAGTACTATATTTGGTTTTAAAACATTATTTGTCTCAGGGTTTTCTGAACAGAAGAGAGTATGTTTCTTGTGTCTGTAATATGTTGCAGGACTATGGCATCCAGTTCAGTAAGTCAAGAGGATTTGGAAAATGATTTTGAACTTTCATCTCGCCGGTCTCGAATTCGAACTGCTCGTGCACGAACAGTGAATCCTCCTGCTAGAATTGGTTTGTAAATGGAAAGGTTTAAGATATGATCTATATTGCGCTATCATCTGTATACATATTGGGCACAGATGTGAAATTTAGTGTATCTTAGCATTTCACAGTAATTTTTTATTTAAAACTGACAGTTAAAGGGTATTAGCACAATATTCAGTACAGTTAATTTTACATTTAATATCAGCACTGTTATGGACCTTACTGTTTGTGAAGTTAAAATAATAATATGGTGATAAGATACAACGTTTAATGTGAAGTAAGGCTTGTTCAAATACAGAATCAGATAGGATGAACAATGCTATGCCACCAAGTGACTTGAAAGAAAAGTCAGCAAGAAATCTATGGTATATTTCTAACGGTTGTTCAATATAAGACTTTCTTTAAGAAGTGTACAGGCAGTGTTGTCCTAAATTGGGCTAAACAAGTTAATATTGGAGCTCTTCCTATTTGGTCATGCCAGGTTACCTCTTCAGAAACGTTCTGATTACCCTCAAAATATTTTTTAAATGGCAGCCACCCCAAAATTAATTTATTAAAAATGATCAATGAGCAGTCCGTAAACCAGAACAACTTCTGATTAAAAATTTTGTATTGATGTTACTTTTCACAGTATGTGTGACATGGATGTATTTGTCATTATTTTGCAGTCAAATTGAAGATGAATACAATGTGATTAAATACTGTAATTATACATTCTTATAATACTGTTAGTTGTAAGGTTGACAGTAATGTATCTACTTCACATAATTTTAAAAATTTGTTGTATTGAATTCAAATTTTACTTATTTAAAGATCCTGGAGGTGGGGATTTGGATGATGCAGGAGGTGGTGAAATGAAAACTTCTGAGTCACTTAACATCAGTAGCAATTTCCCAGCAGAACATGACGCTAGCCCCAAGCCCCTCAGTCGGGCCAAGGAGAAACGTGTCAACAGGTGTGTTACTGTCAGACAACCACTCACTGAACATGTTAGCAGGTTAGTAGTTACTCAGGAAGTAACTGGCTGTACCTGGACTTGAACATGGCAGTAGTTGGATAGCATCCAGTTTTTTGATTCTGCACTGCAATATTTTAATAAATGTTTTTACTGTAATGTAGCCAACAGTCCCTTGGTTAACATAACCAAGCAGTGAGCTAATCATCTCCTTGGAGAAGTGTATGTATACAATTGCACATTTATACAGTGTTTGATGATGTCTAATGAATAGTACAGGTTTAGTTTGAATATCAACATTTTACTGTAAATAAAGATATATGACCTGACTTCTTTCATTACTTCAGTGTGGATGGGGCAAAATATGTTCATTCTCATGTAAAGAATTATTCATGTGACATATTTATATTTGTTCTCAGTTGTTGTAGTGTTTGTGTATTGTTTCACCTTTATCTCTTTTCTCTTTGTTGGCTTGGATGGATGCTTTTAATTCATGTGTTGCTGTTGTGCATTGTGTATCATTGTTTCCCACATGTAAGGTGGATATGCTGTACGCTAAATTTATACAGAGGAAACTTAAGGTGAAAACTATGCATGATTCTCCTGTCTTTTTTATTTATGTCCTTTATTTGCATAAGTGTTTATCTTGCCATTTTTCTCTTGTTTTCTTGTATGTTGCAAGACACAACTGACATAAGTTTTAAGATTTTTAAATACCAGAAATGATGTAAATTTACATTGGACATTATTGTTTTGAGTTATATTAATAATGCATGGAATTATAAGTGTAATAGAAAAGCAGTAGTTTTAAGAATTTTTTTGTGTGGTTTAGAAATACAATTTTTATCTCTGAATGAAGAATATTAATTGTAAGTATTTGAAAGGAAAGTGCTAAGAAAAATATTTTGACCTTAGAGAGTTGTAGGAAGTGAAAAACAACTAGGAACATCAGAACTTCTACAACTTACCTTCATTATTATATTATAGGATATTAAATTTCAAGGAACATTTTGCATTGTAAGGAACTGAACTTATCAAACTATTTTCCTTTTACATATTCTAAAAGTCAGGGACAACTTAGACAGAAGTAACGGAAGTTTCATTGCAGTATTCTGTTAGTGATCTTGACTATATATCTCATATATTCCAGAGCCAATCACATGAACAAAGGAAAACAACAGCAACGTGATCGCAGGAAGTTGCGAGAGAAACGACGTAGCACTGGAGTGGTACACCTTCCTTCTACAGAGGTAGGTTTTGTTAGAAACTTGTCGGACATGCCTTGTGGTAGTTGTGTGAACCTACTTGTCAGTAACTATTATTCCTCTCATAATTATATGTAGCTTGGTTGTCTAACACTGCTGTCACCACTGTCAAGAAGGGAAATATCAGAACTACAAAGAGTCCATATAACCATAGAACCTCATATAATAAAATAAAGCTCATCCAATCCTGACAGTAAATTAAGAAATGCAGGTACATTACATGCGCAAGATCACATTTATTGTGTAGTGGTCACAAGTGAAAGATTGGTGAAGATGCAATTATACAGTGCTGGTCATAAACGTGTTCCTGTTTTAATATTCTATGCAATGTATACTGGTAAATATAAGGGTGTGTCTGTATGAGGATACTGAAATTTTGCACTAGAAATCCTGGAACTGTAAGTATTCTTTCCTAGTGAAGTCTTCTATCTGGTAATTCTGTAAAATCCTAGTTCTTAGCAGCGTCTAATTGTATATAATTCAATGGACACAAACTGTTGTGTGTTCAGTCTACTGGTGGGAGCACAGGAGAGGATGAGGATGAGACTCAGACAGCAGAAACACGCCGAAACACGCAACACAATGAACAGCTGCTGGATCGTGAGCCAGCAGAGGTAACATGGAAGAACAAGGTTTCACATGGCGATTGGTCATGTTCAAGCAAATAAAGACTAGACTAAATTTATTATATGATGCCTTCTAAAAGGGGTTGAGTTTTTTTTCTCCCCCATCCACCATTACTATTGCTCCTGATTTTGTGCGGACTGATTCCTAAACTAAATGCTAATGGCAAAACATTTAAGAACCTCAATTCTGTAATTCCTATGAAAGACAGAAACAATTCCTTTAGTCAAACAACAATAGTGACTTACTTATCTCTGTAATGGTCCATATTTTCCCAGACTTGGTCTGACAAAGCCAGTCTCAAAGTACTGTCCTTTGCCTTGAGTATCCAGAACAGCAAGTGGTGAAGGACTAGCTGTGTCTAGGTAGAATCCATAATTTCTGTTTAATCTACTACATATTGCAATGGTGAAAATTAGAAACAAGCAAGAAAGTCATTGTGACAATACTTAATACTCATATTCATATTTTATTGATACATCTTAATAAGTGTTGGTAAATAAAAAGACATGTTAACATTAAGTCAATTTAGGCTGGGGCCACACGACCGTACAAAGTATGTTCGTGTGTTGTACCCTATATACCCCTTTATAATTCTATGATGGACGTCACGATGTGCGTTACAACGGACATACTTTGTACGGTCGTATGGCCCCAGCCTTATACATATAATGAGTGTCTAAAAATGAAAATGAAAGAAAACTGAAACAAATAGAAATCACCAATTCAAAATTAATCCCATGTGGCCTACTTATAAATAAGAAATTAAAAGCACTATAGAGTCTAACTACCCTTTTTGGCTTTTCTTCATTTCTTGATCAAACTTATATTATGCAACATTTATCATATGACTTGAAGGTTATACAATATAATTTTCCCTTATCTTTGGATTTTTTAGGAGCGGTTACCTCACAAAACATATCCACAGAGGAGGAACAAGAGGTAAATGTACATCATTATTTATTATATAATATTAATAGAGCTGAGGAAGAATAAGTTCAACATCACTTTCTCATAATTTTATCATAAGATATCTCTGAAGGAAGTCACAGGGTGTGTTTACTTCTTAAGCATCTACAATTGGACACATTTTTATAATAAGAATAAACAGCTGAGAATTAAAGGCAGTTCAATGAATGAATGATTTATTTTAAGCCCATCTGATCTTGAAGCAGATGATGAGGATAACCAAGAATTTGATAGTTTGAACCAATCAGATTCAACTGTAAGCAGTTTAGTGCATGTGGCTGAGGTTCCTAGTCGGCCACGCCCTGGTACACCCACTGGGGACAATCCAGATGAGGTAAGTAGTTGTTATAACTTATGAGCCACTTGACTACTCCGTCAACTTAGTGACTGGCTATGGAGCGCATGATCGGTGTTTGGTTCCTGTCAGCAGAAGTGGTTTCTCCTTTTAAGTTGCATGCGGAACTGGTGCTCCCTTCTATCCAGAGGTTTCTGAGGGTATTTTCCCTTTAATGGAAGCTGATATCTCAGTGTCATTAGTTCTAAAGTTAAGAATTGGATTATTTTATCCATATCCTCTGTCTTCATGATATCTTTGCTCAGACATACCAGTAACGTAACCATTTTATCTTAATTTTGAATGGCGTAGAGTGAATCTTTGGTTCATTAGCTTTAATTAATGAAAGGAATATTTTGTAGTCGAAGTGAAAATCAGTGTCTCTTCATCCATTCAGCTTTTGTATCTCAAATGCACACCTTCAGTGGCATTACCAAAAAACTTTTCTTATAATACTACAGTAGAAGACAGATAAATTATCTTCTCATGTTTATGATATTCAGTTTTAACTAATTTTGTTTATAAACATTCCTGATAAAATGCAGCTGTACACACAGTCGGTCATTACAGTTACTTTGTTACTGGTGAAGCCATCCAGAATTATTTTGTTCTTTAACACCGTGAAAATGTTCCAGGGTGGTGATCATTGTATTATTTGGAAACATTTCAGTTGTTAGAGCGAGCTCAAGAAGAAAATCGACGTCTTCTGTCTCTTCTCGAGGACCGGGATCGTAAAATTGCATCTCTTGAAGCTCGTATCTCTCAACTTCAGAGAGAAATGTCACAGGAGAAAGACAGACTCAGGGAAGAGAATGCAACATTGATCAGGGCCATGGCATCACTTGCCACTGCAAAATGAATATTATCCTACTTGTTGGCTTTATAGATAAAACAGCGTAATTGCATTCTTCAGAACTAATGAGTAATTATTCCTATAGCTTAATTCTGTAATTTATGTCTCAGATTAGATAAGATGCTCTTTAATCTGCAAAGAGTAGTATTCAAGCTTCCAGGACATAGTCTCGGACAAGCCGTCATACTGCATGGTCCCTGACCGTGTATAGAATTACTGGTACGCATGTTGATGGAATGTTGCAGTGACCAATTACCTGTTTGTGGAAAGTTAGTATTGAATACTGTTGGGATCTGCTCCTGAATTAATTGATTTTTTTTTATTTTTTTTATCATGAGAGTATATGTATACATAAAACATTGTATAGATTATATTTTCTGAAAGAATGTTGAAGAGGTATGAAGTTACGGAGCATAGTGCCATACACATAGCACTCGTGTTGTTGGATTATGTATGTATGCATTGAGGTCAGTTATTATGTGCATGAAGCAATTACATGCCTATCAACCTTTTTGTTTTGTACTACTGGCATCAAATTGGTTTTATCTCCCATAATTTATAAGTCATATTTAAGGTTTGAATTGCTTACATCTGTCTATTCCAGTATCGTAAATAAAGTTTGATTCCACTAAATGTAACTGTCGATAGATTTTTTGCCGTAAATATAGAATGATCTTTACGCTAAGTACATAAAAACTGAAAAGATTTTTTTTAAGCAGTGTATTATAATATAATGTGAGGTGATACTAAATAACTCTCAGCACTGCATCTTTTAAAGAAGTATCTGTGGTAGGATGCAAAAGGTAACAGTGGCAAATTATGTATTGCTCAGTTCTCTTTGATTCACACTATATTTTGACCAAGATATAATAATTTTGTGATATGTCCTAATGAAAATTGAATAGACTCCTTGGTCAGCACTCTTCTTTCAATTTGATCTTGATTGAACATGTTCAATTTTAAGGGGGCTGTCAGTTTTAGAACAAACTTGGGAGGTCATATTAAACTTAGGATACACTTCCACATTCCTTCATTTAAGTTATTATTGATATGCGTTATAATTCCAGTTCTTTCCTCCTGAAATGTCTTAATCACTTGCAAAGGCATTTCCAATATCTATGTAGTTTCCGGCTATTCCGATTATATTGCAAGTCACGACTGTGGAACTTTTGGTGAATCACTTACACCACTTCAGATGGAATATTCTCAATTTACAAGCTTGGGAGTTCCTGGTTATTGACAGTAAGTGAAGAAATTACATCTGATAAAACTGTAAACTTGCAGTTTGTGAAACATGTTTTGTATTGGCCAAATAATTTAATATATTTTTAGTAATAGTTAATTTTGAGGTAATGTTTTCATAATTTTATTACTTTCATTTTTGAAATACTTGTAAATGTGATTATGTATTAATCATAGTGTGTTACCCAAGTTAATTTGGAAGAAGTGTAAAATGCATCAATATACCATATTAATAGTAACAGTTTAAGAGTTTGTGGTGATAAGTAATCTTGTCTACTTTTAGTACTTAATTTTTTATAAATACAATTTAAGTAAGAATGCAGTAAACAAGTATTTGTTTTGTTTAAAGCATCAATGTGACTCATGAGTGGTAAGATTTTGGGAAACCAAAAACTTTTCACTTTAATAGAATGTCTCTCGGCATCCTACACAGTGGACTGAGGTTTAATTCTAGAGTTCAGTGGATTAGTAATTTTGTAAGATTTTTTTCAACTTACAAGATGTAGTTCAGAATAATTATAGATTGCATTAAATAAGTATATCCAGTTATAATGAATAGAATATGTCACCATACATCTCCAAACGTGAAACGAACATTTTCATAGGTAGCTAATTTACATAAATTGTATAATTGGTGTAACAAACTTGCACTTTATGTTTAGCTAATCGTGATGCTATGGATTTTATGAATTATTTATATTTAAGGAGGCTCAAATTTTCTTAATTATATGGAGTTAGTGTTTGCTTTAGTTTTATGAGGTACATTTATTTTCATAAGCTCAAGCTTCTCAGTTACACCGTGTTATAATTTGATGTATTTTACTTGGCTCGTGGTCTTTTACTTGTAAGATTTGAGGTTTTCACAGCGGTGAGTATGAAGATTCCTGTCTTCTGGGTTGTTGCGGTGTGTAGTCTGGTCGATGTTAACCAACGTTTCAGAGGTCATACTGCCTCCGTCATCGCCCTCTGAAACGTTGGTTAACATCAACCAAACTACACAGCGCAACAACCCAGAAGACAGAAATCTTCGGTCTTTTACTTGTTGAAGAGTAATCTATAGGCATCTTTTGTCGGGTAGCTTGGTCAGTCAGATGTACAAGACCGACATAATCTTGTTTTTTTGACCAAATGCACTCGTCCAGTGTTCAAGAAAGCTACTTGCAATCTCTCAGTGAGTTCACTACAGCGAATTGACCCATGCTACATTATTTGTAAGCTGTTCCTAAAGGATGATGATGATAATATAACACAATGTTTATGACCCATCACTTGGACTTTGTCAACAGTATTTTGGAATTTGGCTCTATGTTTTGTCAGGTGACACAATGGAATTATTGAATCAGAGTATACACTGTTCCTAACAGAAACTTTCTGAGGAATATAGAACATAGGATATTAAATTGTAAGCCATGAATTATGAAATGTAAAAACATGCCAAACTAAAATTTCACCATGAACTTCTTTGTCATTAACAGGTTTTATACATCTCACGGTGCCATTGTTGTCCAGGAGACGACCTTTAGTAGAATTTTTTCATCTGATGAAGGAAATTGAACTGATGTACAAAAAATTATGGGTTTACATAGTCTAAGAGATTGAGTCATGAACACTGTAATTGTAGTTTGTAATATTGGCTGTATTGTAATTCCCTCAATGGTAATTGAACTGCTATGTTAAAAAGATAGTCATGCAGTTTTCTGTATTGTGTGTGTTTGTGGTATTTAAAACTACATGAGAAATAAAACCAATACTGTTGCCTTAATGAAAATGTTATGAATATTATTTATCATTTGTCACCTTATTTTGCTAGTTTCCTGTTTCACTACTTAGGCAGTGGGAATGTTTCTCCATCTTAGTATGTGTTTGGTGTTCATCACCAATAATTTGTTGTTCTTCTCCATTTATCAGAATGCTTTTTAAAGATATGGCAAACAACATTTTATTTTAGAAGTTAGAATCTGCTGATAACTTTCTACCACCTGCCTATCAACATTCATGAACATCCTAATTCAACTATGACCTCAACAATACTGTTCAAGAAGTTGCCTTACAACAATAACCTGTTTTCTGAGTTGTAATGCCCATGTAGGTACTGTGCCAACATTTCGGAGGAATATACTACCCTCAACTTCAGAGCTGAAGATGGAGGCAGTACGATCCTTCGTTGTTATCTGCGTACAAGTCCACATGGCATTACAACCCAGATACCAGCATCTACAACAAGAGTAAAAGTATGAAGCAATGAGGAAGAACTGACAAGTTGCAGATGAAATTGTGAGTTGTATTTAGGTGGCATCCCAAACCCAATCTGGGTACAAGAAATATAAGAAGTTTTAGATAGAAAAGTACTTATGGAGAATTGCTGGAGAAGTCCTGGAATTGTTCTGTGGAAGTCCACAATTGGTGGTGTGTTTTATTCTACGATTGTCGGATTGGTTGGTTTTGTTTATGTTGGATTAGAATACGTTGCATTAGGTGAGGTTTGCGTTGTTTTGAGTTAGGTTATGTTTAGTTTAGGCCATGTTAGGTAAGGTTGGGTTATACGATGGGTTGTGTTGTGCCCTGGAGAAATTCTAGAGTGTTCATTGGGTGGTCGTGCGGATGTCCTGGGGAAGAGCTGGACAAGTCCTAGAGAGGTTATGCGGAGCTTACTTAGTGATGGAGAAGTCCTGGAAAGGTTCTGTGGAAATCATGTAAAAAATCATGGTCGCCCTCTTCCAGACTTACAAATAGTTAAAACATCGTCGAGAACTATGGGTATTCGCCTGATGTAAATCTACTTTTCATTTATTTATATTGTCATGGGTTGAAAAACTATTCTGATTTTTCCCCCTTGCGCAGCACTACCACTGCTCAGACTCACAAGCCGCCACTGGTTATCACCATTCATTAACAGACCTACTATATTCTGAATATGGAAGCTATTCAGATTTATACATCAAAGATACACTTCTTTCTGTCCTTTATTTTTGTAGTATTTCTTCTGGTATGGGCTTTTAATGATGAACAAATTTGTACTCCTTCCCCATTATAGTCAGGGTGATTAAGTCGAGAAGAATGAGATCGGCGGGTCATGTAGCGCGCATGGATGGGACAAGATTGTGCACCGGGTATTGGTCGGGAAGCCTGAGGGGAAGAGACCGCTGAAGAGACCTAGACGTAGATGGGAGGTTAATGTCAGGCGGGATCTATGGGAGATAGGAGTTGAAGGAGACTGGATTTTGTTGGCCCAGGACAGAGTCCGGTGGAGGGCTTTGGTTAATTCGGTGATGAACCTTCGGGTTCGGTAAGCCATCTAGTTAGTTAGTTAGTTAGTTCGTTATGGGCTTTTATGCCGACATATTTCAAAGAACATTTGGAAATGTTATCTTCAGCGCCGTGAAGGAGAGACCAGTCCGCTACGTATTTCATTCTATCATGATCTGTTTAACTTACATCAGAAAACAAACAAAAAGAACAAAACAGAAGCAGTAGAGATGTGTTTTCCAAGAAAAAATGCCTACACATCAGGAACTTGGTAATAAGAGTAATGCAGCATTGAAAATAGTTTATATTAACATAGGAATACCAACAAAATATTTAAAAAAAATATGGCTGGAAAATTTATAAAAGAATGGAAATTTTCCACATTAAGAATCCTTTATGGAAATCAGTCCCAAGTGTCTATGTAAGTATGCTCATGCACTCCTAGTACATGAGAACTTTCAAAAATGTAAAATTCATGTTGAGTTACATCTAAATCTGGAACAAGGCAAGTAGCCTAATCCGAAATGTTGACAATGATAACGGGATTCCACGAAAACATGTCAGTGTTATCATATTATATGATTTTCAGATATTCTTAAAATTAATACATCTTATATCAAAAGTCGTAATTTACAGACGAGGAAAGAACAATAGAATACGTAATCACTTTTGCAATTTATAGGAAACCTTTGCCTCCTGACTGCTTGTTTCACTACACCGTATCAACTGTTGAGATTATGCATACCAAAATTGGATGAGACGATTATTATGAATGATAAATACAGAAATATAATGAAAGAAGTGGTCATAGCCATTGTTGTATCCCCCACAATTCGCCTAGAGGTGCTTAGAAAAACCATGTAAAACGAGAGGCAGTACAGCCAGTCCCAGGTCAGACCATTTTTAATAGACATCCAACCGTATATAACATTAAGTGAAAATGTGATGATAGAAATCTGTAGTTTCTTCTGTAATTAAAACATGTTTCAAATTTTTATCATGCCGGCCTAAAACGCAGAAATTTGGGTTTAAACAGCAGCACATTCAATACACATATCTCCTCGGCAAGTTATCAGGTGGGATCGCATAGATGTCCGGCCTCGCGGAATCGGTGCGTCTGTATAAGCTTACAGAACGAGGCTTAAAATGTCTTTTTAATCTGAAAAGGAAAACTGGTTTAATGCTACTGGACAACGGTGTCGGAAAGGATTAGCTAGTTTAATATATGCGAGACTACACTTCGGTCTAATGATTTATTTTTAGGGTCACGCTTCTGCAGACTACTGACATTGTCTTAGTGAACTGTAATGAAGAGATTCTAATTGCGTCTGCGCACGGTTATGATTTTCCCTTGATCTTTAAAACTTCGTTTAGAACATCACTCCGGAAGTTTCGATGCATAAATAATATGAGCTTATAAGGTAGTATATTTGCGTCATATTGTGAATTAGGTTAATATTTTCCGTCAAATCACAATTTTAATAAGATAATAAAATATAAAATATTTAAAATATCATTTCACGATGCGGAACGTGAAATGATATTTTAAACATTTTATATTTTATTATCTTGTTAAAATTGTGATTTGACGGAAAATATTAAAATATTAATATAAGCTTAGTAGCTTTAGAACATATCCATGCAGTTTTAGAACAGGTCTGCATTAACTGTTCTTTACTTAATGAGATTTTAGGTTATTATGACGGCTAGTATAAATATGTATTATGGTTGTCCCGTATAGCCCTGTTGATGGAAGCAGCAAGGACCTCCGAAACGTCGGTAAACTCTATAACACTACACTGCCATCTTCATGTTCTTCACTTGTTTCGCATTAATCCACACTGATTATCCAGTCCTGTCCACTGTCAAATCAAAGCTTTAAATTTGTTCTGATCATACGTCGTAGAAAAAAGTGGCAAATGCAAAGCTGTACTGCTCACAGAGATAACCTGGAAATAATAAGATCTTTTCCATTTCGAAAATTAGTCACAGGTGTGCCTAAAACATTGGCGCGTTTCTCTCAAATAGCAAGTAGTCAAAGAAATGGTAAATACAAGAAGAAGGTTTACTTTGGCAAGGTAACAGCCAGAAAATAGATAACTCAAGCGGTAAAGTCATCGATTGTAGGTTTAACGACTGGTATTCGACTACTTTTATTTTCCTTTTCATTACCGCGTCCAGATACAGCCAACCTTCCGTCTAATGGTACAAGCAGCAGGACATAAGCTGTCATGTCCTTCCATCTTCCACTGAAATCTACAATGAGAGGAGCTTCACCTCCACGATCACCATACGCACTAACGGCGTGGTACTTAAACTGAACAGCTTTACCTTTGGATCTGAAGGTTTGTGAAGATGTTGTATTGTCAAAATTAACTTTTTGGACATTATCCATAATTCTAAATTAATTTAAAAACGACGTTTTGGAGACTGCAATCTGTCCATCCGGAAATAGGGACTAGCTCTGTTGATTCTGTTCAACTGAGCAGGTTTTACCTGAGGAAGGCGACAAGATTCAAATCTCCGAAACTCCGTGTTTTAATTAAATTAGGACAATGGATAATGTCTGAAAAAATTTTGAAGCAGATGATGGATTTTTCAGATAATCTGTATTTGTACTGACAGCTGGCGGAATATGTAATATGTAAATATAGGCAACCGTCTGCTCATCATGAGATACTGAGCAGGAGTCAATTACCTTCTGAGTGGTTATTGAGCTCTGTGTAGACGTATCTTATCCGTTTGAAGTTTCCATCCGTTTATTACAAACAGGTGGATGACAGTGACGTTAAAAGAAACTTGGCTTTCGGTACGTATCACCAGTTGTCAGACTGCACACGAATAAATGTTGCATATGGCACTTTACACTTGACATAACAGATAAAATAATTTCAAAACGCATACAAATGTTAAATGCGAAAGAGGGTTCCATTGAAATAAATGCAATTTACACCTCATTCAATGCACTTAGTGTTATTTATGAAAAATACAGAATGAAAATGATCAGCACATATTTTTAACTTACAATATGACGAAATTTCGGTAAATTTAATTACACAGCTGTTTGCCATAAGATGGCATTTTAACTGTAAATTGTGGCAATCGAGTCTGATTAACAAATTTAAGTTTTCTTTTCTAGAATATGTTCATTTCCCAGTTTTCAGGCATATTTTTACCTCGTATCATCTAATTGTCCGTAATAGACTTTGGTACTTCAGTGCCGCTGAAACAGAATTACTTTCATCAACATCGGTCGTATAGTAATTATATTTAGTTCTGAGGGAAGACGTACAAAACACACAATATTTTTAAAAAAAAATTGAAAATAGAATTATATTTCCTTTTATACGTTAATTTACTTTTCCATTTGTCAGCAAGCCCGATTATTTGGATCGCTTATTGACGTGTCATTGTTTAGTAGAATATTAAATATTTACTTTTAGTAAATTTTCCACTGGATCTAATATAGGATATTATCAGCATCTGTTCACTTATACATAGACCTATATATATATATACCCACACACGCGCACAAAGAACTAATTAAAAGCTCGACTGATTAACAACTTCCGAGAATTATTGAACACTGCTAGATAAAAAATACAAATAGCAATATCGTAAAGTCTGCTTGAGGCTCAAACGATGTAACCTTAACTTTCAACATAATCATCGTCTTCTTTCGCCGTATAGCTGAAATGTGTGTTCACTGAAGTACATCACCTAGCTGTTTCATAGTCATTCAGAAAGAAAGATCAGCTATCTGACTGAAGATGACAAGATTCCTGTCTTCCAGAATGTTGCGATGTGTAGTCTTGTAGACGTTTACCGACGTTTCAGAGGTGCTTACTGCCTTCTGGCAGACCACACAGCGCAACCCAGAAGACAACTATCTTCGTGATCACAGCCGTCAGAACCTCAGATCAAACTGTATATTCATACACTCTAACAACGGCAACAAAATAGTTCGGAAACCGAACAGACATGAAAGATTTGTATTTAACATCATGCCACTGGATGTCATACTCACTGTTGTAAGTTATAATGTCCCATTATCACTGTAGGAAGTTGACAGGTGCGAGACATATTAGGTGCACTTAATGTAAGGTCCACAAACTTTATGTGCTAATTTAACGTCAGCAGACACAGGAACAACATGGAGCCAAGCGAAATCTCCAGTTTCGCTGGGCTTTGTGTCTGACGGCGATAACAACTAAACCACTGGAAACAGGCATATCAAATATGATATCGATGTAGATCATAAAATCAACGAAAATTCTGTATGAAATATTAATGAGTTAACAGTTTCGACTATGGCAATATCTCATTTTATAAGTAATAAATTGAAATTAGTCAGAACACTAGCCTTGTAAGCCTGGGGTCCCGGGTTCAATTCCCGGTGGTGCTCAAATTTATAACTTGTGTTGGGCAAGGCCGTGGTCTAGGCATCACGGAGTTTTCCTCCGGGGGCTTCCCCGGTTTCTCCGTGGCATCCCAACAATTACTCCACTCACACACAGAAGAAGGCAATGGCAAACCACTTCTGATCATCTCTGCCAAGAATGTATATATGTATGAGCAGGTCCCTGACAACCTGAAGAGGTTGGAAGGATCCTGTTCATAATATATGGACCTGTCGTCAGACAGAACACTACAAATAAAATAAAATAAAATATACTAGTGGAAATTATACACGAAATTAATTTTTAAATATTACAGCAGTTTCCGTTTCCTCGACCACATGAACGGGAGAATTTGAAAGAAACGTGACGTCTTAATTTCTTTTCAGAATTTCTTGGTTTGTTTCTGTTCTAATGACTTGTATCGAGTTGTGGGTCAATAACCGAACAAGTCTGTGATTGTGGAGCCAACACGACGGGGCTGTATTTACTCCGTCTTACCCTCTGCAGGATCCTACACGTCAGTTTCATTCCGGCGCTTACAAACAAATTTGTCTGTTGCCATTATGACGTCGCAGTACAACTGTACCGTAACCATTGAAACAGTCAGAACACACACGAACAACACGCGCGGCTAGACGAGGTTTCATCACAGTTTGGATCTTCTTTTTTGTCTCCAGGTCATCACAATATTTGTATTTCCGCGAAGAGCATGTTATCCCTCTGGCCGGCTACCTTCGCACTTGATTGAAAACTACACTCATGATTCACGACCTCTTTTTCGTTAAAATTATAGAATCTGTGACGTTCATCCCAGCTCGAATCTCGGGTGAAAGATCTGCCACCCTGGTGTTTTCTTGCATTTCCTGGAATTCTCAAAACAAGATTCCCACTACGTCCACACAAATCCTTCTCAGCTATCAACTCTTGTATGTGTCATTCAACTCAGTGCAACTTCTGAACTTAGCAAAACGTTGTTTATTACAGTAATGGATAAATATTCTTTTGTTTGATGAACCATTCGGGAAAAAGTGCTGTAATTGAAGATGGCTGTCTTCTTGTAAATTGCACTATGTAATCTGTTTACTGCCTCCAACAATATGGCGATGATAGAGGCAGTAAAGACTTCTGAAACGTCGGTAAACTTCTACCAGGCTACACGGCGCAACGCCCCGGAAGACGGCCATCTTCATACTTGTCGCCGTAAGAACCTGACATCTTAGAACCTATTTAAAATACCACCAACTCACACTCTCTTGTGTGTGTTACAGATCCTTGCCATGGAGCACAATTTTTCTTGAAAAGTTGATACTCGCTCAGCTATTAAAAAAATAAAAAATAGCTAAAATCTTCGTTTCTATGATACCTGAAGCGTAATTACTATGTTCACAAGAGGTGCTTCTTCAGTCAGATGAATTCAATCCACACTTTTATACCTCGCGACTTGTAAGTCGCTTAATTGAAAGAAGAATGGTGACAACATGGAATCTTAAGAATTACTAGTATTATCTAAGTCCTAGGCGTATAGAAAATGAATAACTGTTGCTGAAACCTGAAGCTTACGACAACAGAACGTCATAGCTATCCTTCGGGATATTCTTTTTTAAATAGTTGGTACGTACTGTACTAAATTTTGAATAAAATCCTTTCTGTTGTCAGTAAATCTTTAAACATTTTAAGTAGTGTATGTCTGTAAATAAACTTAGGTATTTATTTTATATTTATGTGTTTTTCTTTCATCTTTGCGGATTAGCCGGGGTTTCGATTATCCGGGAAAATATTATATTTCCCAACCCACCCGGACAATCTGGAGTCGACTGTATCATTTTCTTTTTTCCGCCATTCGTGCAGTTCGCTTGCTCGTTGCAATGGAAGCCCGGCAGGTCATATATGAAATTTATCTTCTATAAATACTAACGCGTATCTGGTGATTGTATGGTTGTTTCAATTAACACTGACCGCAGGGCTTCATTTGCTAGGTAGATGAGAAACATTTAGGTTTACATCTCTCGCAGAATCAGGGATGGCTCTGAATGTTATTAAACCTTCCACGTGTTCTTTGCACGAAAACTAATAATGAGCGGGTAATATCCGTCTGTCCATCCGTACATTCTACTTTACAAACCACAAGGGATCAAATAACATTTGTTATACTGGTTTCTGCAAATAAAAGTCCTCATATGAAATCCATGTTATTTCGTATCAGTCCACTGTAATCAATACTTTACTTCTTTCTTCGTGGATTACACATTTTAACGCCTGTACCAGCCTCAAAATTCTTTTTTCCAGCTTCATTTTGTAGGCTTATACCAAAACTTAGTTCTTGTGAAACAAATAATTCGCATTTAAAATATTTCGCGATGTGATGTTTGTTTAAAGAAATGTGAGATCAATAATTTGTTCTTCTGAACTGTTATATCGCATCTGTTAATTAGCTTTTTCAATTTAAGAATTTATACAGAGCAGTATCACAGATCATTATTAGCTCTGTCAGTAAGTTTTTCACCTGCAGTAAGTGAACATCACGACCAATGGATAAAGCAAATGCTCCTCTGCGTAAATTAATTCGGACTTCTGTTGCTAATATTTAATACTCTGTAAAATGAATAGTTACAAATGGGTCTAGAGGTGACTACATTTCTCTTCCATGCCTTTATGTATGTATGCTATAGGAGTAAACATTTGTTATTCGCCACTAATTCCTTACAGGCTCTAGGACCCAGTTAGCGACGTATCCAGTCGGTACTAAGGGATCTTTCCTCGGGAGTAAATCCGAAGGAGCGTGAAAATGACCATTCGTCTCCATTTAATGTCGAGAGTGTGAATATGTGGATCTTTACCTCCACTCCTCCACATGTCTTCATAGTGCGTGCTTAACTTCTGGTCATTGTTCTTCCCCCAGAATACAAGACACCGTTTTAAAACCACCCAAACAACAGGCAAAGTGATTGCTTTCCAAACATTCATTTCTCAATTCCGCAGTGAAGTTGGCTTGTGCTGTGGAACATATCGGTTGCCCCGCAACCTATTGGGTGGGACGGGCGGAGAAGGTTACGTCACGGTGTCCCCATTGGTGGGAACACTTGTTAGCGCCAGATGTACCTCACTTGATTCATCCGAGGAGCCACACCACGTCACTATAAATATTCACTCCCAACAAGTGACCAGCACATTTCACCACCACCGCTGGACGTCTTCCACTTTCGACCACAGCCATCGATACGTCAGGAGCCGCAGGTAGGCGACGCCTTCCATCGACTTCATGTTTTGTGTTCTTGTGGTCTCTTCTTAGCCTTACGATTTACATAAATGTCTCTGCATTTGATGTCCCAGAAGCAGTTGCTCCACTGAGAACCAAATGTGTGCAGGATAATTAAGTGCAGGAAGAAATCGAAATGGATTTCAACAACTTTATTAATAAATGAAGATGACAGTCTTCTGGAATGTTGCGCCATGTTGTCTCGTAGAAACTGATCGACGATTCAGAGGTGATTTCTGCCTCCATCATCAGGACTCATCGTCATGATCATGGAGGAAGAAAGAAACTTCGACCAGTTTTATTTACGAGACTTCATGGCGCGTCAACACACGAGACCGTCTTTAGAACCGGAAACTCACCTCATAAATTATCTCTCTTTATAGCTGTCAAAACTATCATTCCTCTTTACAGGATCTACACAAAACTTATTCCTAAAAAAAACATTATTGGTGACAGTTCTGCAATTAAACATATCTTCAGCCTTAGGCAACGTCCACATCGGGATAAAGATTTCGAATGCTGTATTTTTCTGTGTTGCGTTTTAACAGGTTGATTTTCCATTCAAGGATTTTTAATGAAAAACTAAAAAAAAAATCCAATTATTTCCGAGTTAACAAACAGTTAAAGAGCTTTAAAGAAAGAAAAATACTTGAGTAAATGACTTCACATAATTAATCACGCGACCGTAGTTGCCTCCACAATCAAAGAACGTGTATTTGTCTCTGTAGTTGCGCATGACACAATTTTATTCGCCTTAAGCATATGTTGCTGAATATTAAGATTCAGTGGCTGAAAAAATTAATTAGGGGGGACAACAAAACCTAATTAAAGGCACTATTCGGAATTTTCCTGAAGAAAATGTAGTTCTTGTCGATGCTAGCTCTAGCTGCGCGTAAACTTGTAGGTAGATACCTGTGTTTCGGAGGAACATACCTCCTCCATCTTCAGGGCTTGAGGTCGCATATTCCACCAAAACTTTGGAATCTGCCTATAAGTCCACGCAGCGTCATAACCCAGCAGACCAATACGTTGAAATGTTTCCAGGTTCCAGCGGCACAGCCGCCAAATAACCTCACTGTTTTTGCTTATGTGTATGGATGATATTTACTAGGATAGAGTGAATGAAGAAAAATAACTGTAATAGCCTTTCACGGGACACCATTTCTAGTGAAGCGATCCGCAATCCTCAGTGTTATGTGGCTGTTCTATTATGAACTGTTTGCACAAAGTTCATAAAATCAATATATAAAATGTCCTATCTATGTCTAGAGATGACTGGTTATTATACTGAAAGATTTTTATAGATTTTTTTACTTAATAATAATAACGGTTAGTATCTAACACTGACGTTTTAAATGTGGATGTTATTATAATTCTACTTGTGTTAAACGTTCGGTTTCTTCGTAGGAAATCGTGTTGCTAATACACACTTTAAATAAAATGCTTCTTGCGCCCACGTTACTGGACTCGTTAAAACAAACGCATTGTAATTATCGTGAAATATTTCCATTACATTTAACGTAAACGCATCCAGGCATCCATTAAATAAAGTAATTAATCCCGCACGCAGCCAGCTGGAAGACGGAATATGCAGGGTATATAGGTCGCTTTAACAGAGTCCGATATTATCGACATCGGATGCACCAAAAACAGATGACTTTAATACACAGTCACCGTTCTGATAAAACTGTCGCTACGACCACCAGGTCCGTCTTAACTGTCGGATGGCAACGAGTTAGAATTTCTTCCAATTAATTCACGTTGGCATGAGTACATTTAAATACGATGCAACTTTGACACAGTTCAGAAGGCTAGGCCCTGTTTATAGGATATTTGTAATATGTCTTTTAGGAAAAATTTATAGCCGATTGAAGACACACTTGTCATCGTGAGAACCTAAAATCTCACCTTCCATGCTATTGTTTCTTCTTTGGTGTAGCAAATACAGGGTACAGTAAAAATCAAAGTCGTTTCTTATCCAACGTGAAGAAGTTTATTCAAACTTCAACAAACAGAAAGAAACAGCAGCACCATCTAGCCGTATTCAAGTGGGTTCACAGTCAGTGACACCTATAATATCTGAGCACATGCAATTAATAATCATACTAGTATCTGACAATTAACATCCCACGTTAATAGTATCGAACGGCGTGAAAGCGCCTGGCTCTGTTTTGCATAAGGGAATTAGAGCCCTTCCTAATTTCCTTTAACGTCAGACACATTTTGTTTTGCTATCTCAAAATCTTCCGCATTCAAAGCAACTGATATTAAAACCTCTACTCTATGTATCCCACAATCCTAAAAGTAATATTTGTCTTTCTCACTAAACTTTTATTAAATATTCATAATTAAATCGCATTTAGGCGCTGACTGGATTAACTGGCGTCCGGATTTATGAGTTCTAGACGGAGGAGGTTCAACTGTAATATAGCCGAATGAATGTGATGTTTTTCATTAATCTTTTACAATTTTCTCAGCATAAAGAAAAGGTTTCAGTGCTGCCAGAGATACATGTAGCTGTTCACTACAACTTTGCGTACAATTTTAAGCTGTGAATAAATTGAAAGGGTGTGTTATAAATCGCTTATCGTAAAATCATTGAAGATGGCTGTCTTCTGGGCTGTTGTGCCATGTAGACTGGTAGAAGTTTACTGACGTTTCAGACGGACTGAGACTGAGCAGCAAACACATCCAAAACGTCTACCAGGCTACACGGCGCAACAACCCAGAAGACAGCCATCTTCACACTCCCTCACAGTCGCCGCCGTCATAACATGCAGTATCAATCCTATATTAACTTACATCTGACTCACTGCCAGATTATCGGCTATACTGGCCCAAGTTCGTCGTGATTTCTTTAGTCTCAGTAGAATTTGGGGATAATACCTTCAAATAGGTCACGACCACCTCGCCCCAAATTCTTACCTACATGCCATTAACGATCAACTTTTAACATCATTCCACGCTACACAATGTTTGGACGAAACAGTATCATTAATGTAAGACTTGAGGTTCTCACAGCGGTGAGTATGAAGATTTCCGTCTTCTGGGTTGTTGCGCTGTGTAGTACGGTAGATGTTAACCAACGTTTCAGAGGTCATACTGCCTCCGTCATCAGAGTATGAAGATTTCTGTCTTCTGGGTTGTTGCGCTGTGTAGTCTGGTCGATGTTAACCAACGTTTCAGAGGTCATACTGCCTCCGTCATCAGGGTGACGGAGGCAGTATGACCTCTGAAACGTTGGTAAACATCAACCAGACTACACAGCGCAACAACCCAGAAGACAGAAATCTTCAGTATCATTAATATTTTGAGAATCAATAAACTAACCCACGGATTATCAATATTCTAGACATGCGAATTAAATTTTGTACCGAGTCCCTTTAAACTTCAAAATAAGTATATTCTGAAGCAATTCGATATTGTTATCGAATTAAGTTCCCGTGAAACTTAATATTGTGACAATGTAGATCGTTACTTAGAATTTAAATTAAATTTCCTCACTACCTCCTGCCAAAATCTGGGGAAAATCTTAAAATAGGCCACAACTTCTTCATTGTATTTTATTTTCCTCATGACGAATAAACGTTGTTGAATAAACAAATGATATTGATTTCACAATCGTGCGTTATTCCTATGTTTCTTTTAAAATGCAGTTTCGAGGGAATAACAGGGCATTTTGAAAGAGAGGGGCCAGCTGTGTAAGGTCCGCGCATAGAACTAAGCCCTCTGGAATTAACTTATATTTATGACTCGAGTCACTACCAGAACCTAGCAAACAAATCCTACAGATGTAGTGAAGAATTCCAAGGTATCTGATAACGTAGAACGAACTACTAGATTCAAGTATGACAAAAGCTTTTCTTATTTGAAATTCCTAGGATTACTACAGCAACTTGAACCTAGGACTCTTGACATGGCAAAACGTCCGTCTGACCATGTACAGGACAATATCTGCTATTTCATCGGTGTGTGAAATCGGAAGCTTCTTCACTACAAAACTTTAAGTTAAACGAGTACTTCACAGCTCTTTGTAAGCACGCCAGGATCCTTACTCATTCAGTACCACCACAGATAGCAACAGCAAATAACTTCTTTACCCACAAGTCTTGTCGCCGAAAGATGAACTAAACGTATTTCGTATCACTGTACTTAAAATTACTTTACTTTACCATGTACTCCATGTCTGTACTTTGTAGTTTAGTTACACTTCGTAGTTTTTATATGGGCCTACGTTTATTTGATATCTTGTGCCTAGTGTTAACCGTAAGCTGATTCACGAGTAAGAAAGAGTCTATAAACCGCTGTGTGTTCAAGGCTGTGTGTTGATAGTTTTGCACCAACTACCAATTTTTACAGAACATCGTGAGGCGATTCTCCTAATGCAGTCAATACCTATGTCACGAGCAATAAATCACAATTATACCTTAATTTAACGAGAGTAAATCAGAACTATCAATATTAATACAGAACTCTGAAAACTTCAAACAAAGTTAAATATTTGAAAAACGCGACATCCTGAAGATAACTTTCGACTGAAATACACGCGGTATCTGAGTATATGTAGATTTGACTAACACTATGATTATGTTATTGTTAATAGTGATCACTGAGACAATTAATCTAACCTTATTATCCAATTCTGAGTTAGTTAAATTCACTGAATACTCGATACGGAACAAAATATAATATTTTAACCATTTAATTATCTTATATTACTTTATTGTGATTGACGGACAATTTTAATATATATATTTTAAATGATCTGATTTAACTGCATATGTTTTGATCGTCATTATGACCAGAAGATGACTAATTTCACCATATGGAACGTTAATCGCGATCTATTGCAGAGTCATAATTAAATCTGTCTTCCTCTGGACTTCCTATTCTCCTTTCTTTCTCTGCGGAATTCCTTGCTTCTTACATAATCCTCCCAACACCAAAATCAACATTCAGCCCCACATATTTCTGCATACAGCAAAACCTCTGTTAACCGAGCCTCGATTATCCGATTCCCGCATTAAGAGATCGAATTTCAACCGGCGAGAGTGGTTAATAATATTTTTAAATCCACTCCCTCAAAATGTGTTTTAATGTAGGGCATATTTGTCTTAATTACGTTTTATTTATGTAGTTTCTGTTCCTCTATGCATGCTACATGTCCTGGCTATCATATCCTTCTTGTTTTACTATCTTTCAATAATATCAACTTAGTATTACAAATTATAACACAACCACTGCATACTTTTCTCTTTCTTAGGTCTATGGCTCGTTCAAACATCTTCATTCAATTTGTACTTGGATTTTGACTTTAGGTCCTATATAACTATTTCCGATATAAAGGTAGTTAATATTTATTTTCACTTTTCTTTGAGGCTTAGTGACATATCAGAGGGAAATCAGCTGCGAAATTAAATTTTGCAGGTCATAAAAATATTACAATTCTGATCCTGGGATAGAGACCTATAATGCAGTACACGGAAAATAATAGCTCAATCAACTTTTTTCCAATATGAACTTTGTGTCCAGCTCTGGAAATGTGTCATTAAATCAGTGCTTCTCAAACTGTTCCGTTCGTGTTTCGTATCGATAGAGTGGAAATCCGCATCAAAACTTAACAAAACCCGTCGATATAAAAGGTACACAAAGTGGAAAATATACGTATTTGTAGATGCACAACATTAAGGAAATAACCCTAAATTATACGACTAATTTCCGTTCGTACAAACATAACAATACATAAAAAAATGTATATCAGATAACATGCTTCGGTATTTTATCCGTAGCTTCGTTAAAGATCGCTCTTTCAGATGATAAAAGCTGTCGATCTGTGTCAGACACACACATATATAATTATTACATAATTAAGATTCTTATGTGTAACAACACAGGGTGACAGACAGAAGAAGGCACATTCTCTGTGCATTTATAGGTACCTGTTGGCAACATCCATTTTTATGCTTAGGATTTTGACATAAAATTTATTTAACGCTGACGATGTTAATAAAATCGGCGAAACTCCTATTAATCTCTAAGGGAACACAGTTTGGAAAAAACTGTTTCGTGTTTCACTAGTCTATTTTTGATATATATTTCACATTCCGTGCTGGTTCGTATTTTATTACAATAATGCTATGTACGTAACGTGAGTGTTGAAAAACGTGTCAGAAAATGTTTACTTCTACACGCAAATGAACAAAGAAAGTGTCTTTTTTTTAATACTCATCCCTCTATTCATCTAAAATAATTTTAGGGCTGATGTAATAACGTTACTTCTAAGATGGCTTCTTCTGTGTTGTAGCGCCGTCTAATCAAGTAGACGTTTATCGACGTTTCATTCGTGTTTGCTGCCTCCATCACCAGGGGGTTTCAGAGGTCCTTATTGCTTTCATAATCTCCCTGATGATGGAAGCAACAAGGACATCTGAAACGTTGGTAAACTTTCACCAAACTACACGGCGCTACAACCCAGAAGACAGCCATCTTCAGACTCACCGCCGTCAAAACGTCGAGACTGGTTCTATGGACCACACAGGCTCCTATCCAACGTGTACCGGAATAATTTCCTCAAGGGTAAAGCAGCCGGGACGTGAAAGTGACCATTCACCTTCCAGTGCCTAGTTACGGACACGTCTTCACGGAGTGGCATATCAGGAACAATTTTACCACCACACAAATTGTTACGAAGAAAGAAAACACGAAATTTTCAACACGACGTTGTTAATCCACGTTGTGACGCCGTGTAGATACTAACGCTTTGGAGAAACATACTGCCTCCAGCCCTGAAGACGGAGACAGTATGTTTCTCCAAAACCCTGATATCAACCTACGAGTCCACATGACGTCACAACCTAGAACAACAACATCGACATCAACACTGCCGTGAGAACCTCAAATCTGTTAAAAGTTTAAATGTCGCACTCAGTTCACCAGTGCAACCCGCAGGATTAAATTATAAAAAAAGTCTTATTCTTTACTTGACTTAATACATGCAATAAATGTTAACGCGCGTTGTTTTAAGTGTAACAATTTATGTAGGAAAAAATTGCCACTGCGTCTTTTATGAAAGAATGTGAAATTGCTGCCACCGTTTGCAATCCATAACCAAAAGAGTGAAATAGCAGTTAGGTCTACGTATGCCTGGATTTTATAATTCTTCTCTTTCTACTCTCGCCCACATGATATGGCACTCATAAAACATGCCACAGGAAATGCGTGGGAGTTCAAATTTCCCTTTTACGTTGCTGCCCATATGGGTTTCAACTTCAGGCAACTAATCTACTGTAAAGATCCTATCTGCAGGACTTGGTCGCGCGAATAAATACATTTCTACACGAACGCGCAGTCAAAAGAACGTTTTTATTAAAACTGAACGTGGAGTGGCTGTCACTGCCTCTCTCTTTTTTTCGCACCTCTCAAGGTGCGATTTTACAGGAAGTGAATTCAGGGTAATGTGGGTTCTAAAAGCGGCAGGATTTTAATGAATTACAAAATCGAACAACGTAACTCATGCACTGCACTTTCACATAGGGCTGCTTTAGAATTATTTAGAACAAATTATAGAATAGAACTTATCTCTACCGCGAGGCACGTACAGAAAATGTACCCTGATTACAAATATCTCTCCTTCATTTGTCTAAAGAACTGAGGACGCCCCCCCCCTCCCTACTGAAAAAATCCTCCGTGTATCCTATTTCAACAAATCGTTCCGCAAGTAGCCTTAAGATCTCGGAACTGAGGAAAAACAAGCAGCCGTCCTGGACGCCTGTAGGAAGAAAAGATGGGCAAAGCGACAGAAGAATGAAACTAACCTCCATTTAGTATCCACGTCTATAATGCTCATGGTTTTATCTCGACACTCCTTATATGACTTAATGATGTGGTGCTTAGACACAGAAGAAATTTTAAGTTTCTTTACTGGTTAGAATCTAGACGGGACCCCCGAATCTTATCGCCGAAATATTTTGTGGTTTTCTTCAGTCATTCCAGACAAATGCCACTATAGGACTTCGACATTGGCCACGATCTTCTCTTCCTACATTTTTCCCGATTCGCAATCTGCAGGCTACTCGATACGTTTAATTTTAAGTAAAATAACATCTGTTGTTCGTCAATAGACTACGATTAACAAGTTACCGACATTTGACTTCTGGGTTGTAACGCCGTTTGGAATAGTAGGTAGACATCAACGTTTTGGAGGAACATACCGTCTTCATCTTGAGCGCTGCATTTAAACTTTATAACACAGAATACCAACGTCGACACTTTGTCGCCGTCAGATCTCAAATTACAAATGTTTATTTTGTTTAACTGGGTTTTCGTTTCATATATAAACAGTAAGAAAATCCAAGTAAAAGGTTTCATATGACGTGGCATCTCCGTTTTCAGCTCATCATTTTGTGTCGATGTTTTCTTGCTCCAAGTAACAAGATGCCGAAGATGAACGTGACTTTGTACAAAGAACGCAGACTAGTGCCAGTAACACAGTTTGCCACAGAGTCACGAACAAAGGTATTATGGGTAATCGCGTTAAAATAATACGGCTAGTGATTGATTATTTTACTCAAACTCCCTATGGTGTTACGTCCTTCCGTCTGTATGTATCACTTCCGCTGAAAACGCTTGAACAAACTGGCGTATTTTTATGAAACTTAGAACCAACATCATGCCATTCGAGTACATTCCACCTATTTACTTTCTATTTTCCTCCCATCAGTTATACGCATATGGCGGTCGATGTTTGAGGTGGAAATGACACTAGAGCCATTTCATTTCATGTCATGAAATGTTATACGTTAACATTTTTTTTAAAACGCCCAGCTTTTGTTTATTTCATTTTTTCTGTGTACAGTAACAAGGAAATAAATATAGCTTTAGAATTAATAACTATATACGCCTTTTCTTTATTGAAACAGACGATAACCATGCAAATTACGTAGACCTACAAGCCACTGACAAACGTGGCGATTGTGCGGAAGTACGAGGTTAGGTCTGTATCGGACATATTAAAAACAACTGGAATTCGTACTATTGGAAATTACGCACAGGAAATGGTCACTAAAATTTGTGATTATTAATTCACAGTTCCTGGTAGTCTTACTATAGACCTACATATTAAAGCGTTCAAAAAGTATCATACTTCCTTCCAAGGATACGTTTTCCAACCGTACAGATTATCATACAAAGCGTCAAATATGAAAAACGCATGATCAGGAATGATCAGCAGATAGACTTGTAAGAAGAGTGCTGATGCCTCAATCTAGCGATTTCTCTCATTCCCTCCAAGTGAACCCCACAAACCCTCCCTAAAACATTCCAAGATAATAATTTCCAAGTCATTACATGAAAATTATCCATCGGCAAATTCCTATCACTCGATGCTGTATCTGTTTCTTAGTCAGCTGAAACAGCATCAATACCCAATAATAAATCCATTCTGCAATGCCGTCTGGTAAGAAAAGAAACTGTTGTATGGGATCACGAATAAAAACTGCTAACGTGGGAAGATTGTACTTCACCATAAAATATGCGACTTACTTCTCCTGTTGATTGCAGTGCAAATGGAGTGGAAGAAGGAGATGACACTGGTCCTCTACTTACTGGTTGTCATGGCAACAGCGGCCTGGGCCTCCTCCAAAGAGATTGCTCAAGAACTTATGGACAGGTGTGAAACCGTTTCCTAGCTTTTGCTTATACTGACCAGAAAATAAAAGTTTAAAGGCAGTCGCCTTGACGTCACTGTCATAGCAGCGCTTCATGTAAGACAAGAAGTTATGGGAAGAACAAAGACGCTCACTTCCCTTCAGATGTTTACGTCTATACAAAGACTGCCTATCAGAAATTTAAAGTTCTTATACAACCTGGCGTTCAATTTCCTGTGAAGTTTCATATCAACACTTTTTCATTACATGAAACCTGTCAGGCACAAGCTCATATTGAGATTTCTGGTTCTCACGACGGTGCCTTGTGGGTGGTAGCACCGTGTAGTCTGGTAGAAGTTTACCAACGTCCCGGAGGTTCTTGCTGCCTCAATCATCAGGGCTCAACAACATACAATAAAGCTATCTTCACAAGCTCAAAATTTTGCACTGCCGTCAAAAATGTAAAATATTATGTTCAGTATATGTTTCATGAAAAAATTATAATAAATATGTTTGTAATCTCCGTAAAAAATTAGCATATAGAACTATAACAGTGCATTGGTTACTGCCATTAAACTAGAATATAAATACAGACCTCGCGCTGCAGCCATGTTGGTTTTGCGTTCTATAACGACAAGACATTTGCAAATTTTTCGAAGATGTATAATTAGGCAACATTTCTGGATATTGATATCAGGCGGTGATTGAGTCGTTCTCATTTCGGAAGTTCAACAGGCAGCCATATTGGTATTAATGACGGAAAAACATTCAGTGACGTTCAACAAATTAACCTAATTTCTATGATGAATAATCGCATCATCTCCAATTTAGCATTATCATCATGATTAATACGTGAGAGAAAGATTGAGACGGCAGACCATATGCTTTAATTAATGTAACCCAGTAGTGCCAACTTACAGACTGTATGCATTTCTATAAATAGTGATTTAAACACGAAATTGAACAGTGTCGCACGTCCACGAACCTCCAGACTTCCATTCGGGAGTTATTAGGTTAGAATCTCGATCAGAAATCTCTCCGGGTGAGCATCGGGATAGCAGACATACATTCAAATGGCACGAGTCTCCTTCAAATCGTTTCATGATCCTACCATCTCATTCGACGCTTATAATCTCTGCAATTGGAATAACGTCATTGAACAACTTCAGAACATATGTCTTAAGGGTACAGAAATAAATTTTAAAGTCAGATTTGGTTCACGTATTCAGATTACATCAGTTATCTGTGCTACTAACAGGAAGGGGTTAATATGTTTGCAGCGAATTAAAGGGATATCATGTAGCACATCTGAATGGTACACAGAAGAAGGGTTTTGCAGCGGATGAAGAACATTCCCCTTGAATATATATACAGGCCTAATACAACCCATTCCAATAGTTTATGCTGGATTATTAAGCAGTGGCATGACTAGGATTTGGAGTTAATGCAGGGTCCACAACGGATGCAAGTTAAATCCTAAATTAAGTGTTCGCAATATGCTTATTACATTACCAATTACTTATAATCAGTTGTACAAGGTGCAGCTTGATTACTGGTCGGTCAGAGAATTTGGAATTTGCAACTAGTATTCATAATTTGAGCCTTGCGGATAAAGGGGCCATGGATGAAGGTCAGCGAAGTGCAGGCTTTCCACATCAAACTATAAAGTAATAATTTTACCGAACAATAATCCTGAGGTTTTGCAAGAAAGTTTTATTTTAATACTCTGAAGTCACGAAGCTCGTCTAAATAATATTTAAACATTCAGCCCCTACGTCAAAGAAAACACAAAAGAGTCTGCATTGCAAAGATCAGTCGGTTATTGCTGCTTAAATAAATTACTTCTGTTTATTCTGAGACCCATACGTAACCCATAAATACACTGTGGGAAAAATTAAGAGTTATTGATTATTAAAGCAGGTGTTATATGTAGATACCGTAATTACCTGAAATATACATTTTTTGTATGATATATTCGCTTCATGTGAGTCATAATCACCCATTACTGCAGCCGATATCACTCTCATTTTTCATAATCATATTTCCCATAAACTATCAGTCCATTCATCCGATAAGTTTATTTACCGATCTGTGAAATCCATTTATCTCCCCCATGAGATGGTGGCATTAACTTGTTTTATCTAATCCTAGTTTAACGTGTTAATACAAAGCTTTGAATTCTCCCTTAGTAGTCTACGAGTAAATTACTAACTTACTTTAATTCGGTTTTACAGCTAATTATCCAGTTAGTACTTTGAAACAGACAACCGTCATTTTTCTCCATCTCTCCTGTTTTGAATTCAAGTAACATCTTTCTTTTCTTACGACCACTAGTTAGAAGACACCAAGACGAGTTTCACGAAACTTGACAAGTTATTTCTATTGTACTGAAGTATGTTACAGTCATGTTACGGGCCGATAAAAGCAACTCTGGAAGAAGGTGGCCGAAGATCTAAAATTATACAGAATTTGTTGAGATAAATTTAATCTTAAAATGAAAGACCTATAATAACATGGAGATCATATTAATCCATTTCGTTCGAATGAAATACGGTAATATAAACTATGATGAATACCCATATTAAAAGGATTCGTTATGCTTCATGATATCAGCATGGGAAAGAACTTATTTGATGTCAAACATTCATAAGATGAATCTTCTGGAATATTATGCCGTATATCCTGGCTGACTATTCAAACGTGCCTTACTGCCTTCATCACGAATCGCCCTGGTCATAAAGGCAGTAAGTACCTCTGTACCTGTTAGGGGATCGGGCAGTAGTTTGTACTAATATATTTAATGTCGTCTCATCTCACATTACGCATGCAGCCATATCAAAAGTTTACAGGAGAATCGACGGACAGTTCGCCTGCTGAAGAGTTTGCTGGAGGATCTGGACGTGAATATGGAGACAGTGCAGTAAGTATTCAATACTCTGAATAAGCAATTCTAATCTACCCACTTTCGGCCGAAGTGCCTACACGTGCAACACTAAATTGTCCCAGCGTACATCTGTACAGCGTTTTGAAAACCCGAGAAAAATTAAATGAAATAAAAACCCTTTTCCTTATTTTAAATTACATTATTATTACTATTGGAATATGGAAACAATTATTACAAAACTTATTTTCTAAGATACACATATTCCGAACTTCGTCAAAAATGCATTATTATGACGACTAGTTCTGTAAATTAGAGAATAAAGGAGCTTCACAGAGACTGGTTTCTGAGATTTGTTTGCAAAACAAATTTTTTCTCAAGCATCACATACTTAACCAGATCGAAATGTGTATTTAAGAAATGCGACTAAGTAAGGAGGTTACTTAAAAACCTTACTTCCTTAATTATAGTGGCCAAAATAAGGGGTTATGGTTTTTTGTAACATTTGGTTTGTATCCACAAAGTAACTAATTTGCTTCATGAATAAGCAGTTTATATAAAGCTACTTAAACCCTAATTAATTATTAATCTACGACAACATATACGACCATAACTTCAACAAATAATAAAATACAACTGACAAGGACTATTTCGTCCATTCAGGAAAAGGACATCTTGCCTCATAAACGCTGGACTATCCCACAGCTGTGACAATCGAGATTTTATTGGTGCAGTTGAAGAGAACAAATACTGGAGATCACTGGATTCACCGGGCAAACGGCGTCGACGTGGAATATTCAACGTTCAGTAATAGCCCTGGAAAGGTAGTATGTCCACATAACTATCTACTGTAATTCTCAATTTTGTGTTATTTCACAGCGACAAGGCAGCTGAACGGGCTAAGAGATGTGTTAATACTGGCGATGACAGCTGTGCCAACGGCTACATTCCTGGAGCTGGAGCTGATGATGATTATTTTAGTGGTGGAAACACCCCAGGAAAGAGAGCGACATTGGATACCCTGAATCCTCAAGAACTCCGCACAGCCTGGCAGAAATGTCTGAACACTGGCGATGACAGCTGTGCCAACGGCTACATTCCTGGAGCTGGAGCTGATGATGATTATTTTAGTGGTGGAAACACCCCAGGAAAAAGAGCGGCATTGGAGACCCTGACTCCTCAACAACTCCGCAGAGCCTGGCTGAAATGTCTGAACACTGGCGATGACAGCTGTGCCAACGGCTACATTCCTGGAGCAGGAGCTGATGATGATTATTTTAGTGGTGGAAACACCCCAGGAAAGCGTTCTGTCTCAAGTTTTGACGTGAAGCGCCACTGCCTCTTGTTTCCAATGAGTCCTGTCTGCAGAAACTTGTAGTCGAAGACAAGAGGGCGTCACACCTTAAGTAAGATGAATTTATTATATCATTCTAATTAAATATGTGTAGTCGACTCAGCTGTCCTCGTTTTATGTATTCTCGAGAAGAACAGACCCTACTGCTTATGTCTTGTATGTGAAGAAGCAATGTTGCTCATTTTACTGTATAAGAAGCGAGCGTTTCAAATGTTTTGGTAAATTTATTTCGAAAATCTGTAACATAGCTTACACGTTCAGAGGCCCGCATGTAACCCCGTGGTAGTAAATGCAGAATTTCGACAAAGTGGCCCTCTGTAAAGCTATTCTCAGAACATTTCCTTATGTGCTGTCAATCGTCATTCTACTGAAGCTCCATATACACCCATCATTAGCCCTAGGCTTCGCGTTAAGCCTTACAAATGAGCAGGTCGTGTCTTCAGTTGAAGCTCTGCCTCTGGCCCGTAATTTTTCCGGGATCACATTACGTAAATCTAGTTTCTTTCGCAACATTCTCAAGCTATTAAGAATATAATGTTCCGTCCGTGTATATCTGGAAATATATCGGGGATATTATTAGTAGCGAGGACAAAATGTAAACGTAGCTGTTAATCGTCTGTGATTCAGGGAAATGTTGAGTCCAATGTGGACGTTCTATATATGCTGAACAATAACACGTTTTGTAGGAAACAAGAGTTGCCTCTAATTTCTGTGCTTTGAGAAGATTTCATTCTAATGTCTACGTCCTGTATACGTCAAAAGCGAAATGATCTCACTATCTGTACCTTCTGGGTGGCGGAAACATATCTTTGAACTGCACACTCTGTGTCCAGGTACTGAGAGTGTTGGAGAACTGTCTTGTATTTACGTCCTATTGCGATGGTATGCCCATGTTCTGTTTGTATCGGAGGAAGATCAAGACATTCGTCATAATTCCAAGTGACGGAGAGTGTCTGTCTTGTGTGTGACATAACCGGCTTTCATGTCTGATGTGCAACACGTTATTATACCATGCTTTTTGTTATATGTGATGCCATGTATCGACAACATTTTATTTGTGTAAGTACTAGAAATTACATATAATTATCAAGGATCTGACTTATATTATTATTAGCTGTGTACTGCTCATAACAGAGATGCAGAAGTATTTACAATCCATTATTTTACACGAATGGAAAGGCCTAATCAATGCTCACAGGACAGTATCCCAGTACTAACCTGAAGATACCAAGCAAGACGAGAATCATCGGCCGGGACAGCCTACACCTTGGCCGAGATTTAAAGTGCAATGATCTAAAAGTGAATAATAACCAACACAACTCCAAGTTCGGTGCCGTCGAAAAGCAATCCTAATTTAACTTATTTATCCAGAACAATGTGTAAATGTAACAGAGAGTCTTGCACCCAGCCAGTAGAACAAACGTAACAATGAGTTGGCTTGTAGAGGTCACCGCGTGATAAGCGACTCCGGCATTAGAACAGCTGTTTACTGTATGAAATCTAGTCTTCATAACTTTCTTCTATAAACCTGTGCATTTCATCAAGATCTTTCTTTGTTACCACGAAATAATTTAATTGTTTGTATTTATTGTTTTCAGGGCAGTAATCACGTGGAAGTCGCGGTGCTTTTCAAGACTGTTCCAGTATTATATGAACCAATTTCAATTCACAATATGGGTTCTATGCAGGGTCTAACTATATAATGTTTGTTATTAATTAGACAAAGAATTTCATTCATAAAATAATAATGTATGTCAGTAAAATCTAAGTAATAACATAATCATGTGAAATTTGTGCACTGCTTTACACCTATAAAAACCTTCATTATTAGGGCTTAAAATTCCTTCCTATGTCAAAAACCAAAGTTGTTCACGCCTCTTGCACATAAAGTATGTTTTTTGTTCACCTTGAAATTGCTGTGATCATAAACATGTGCGTCAATAGTTCAGTACTTTCATGAGATTACCTTTTGAACACTGTTCACAGTCTGGTTAAAAATAATCAAGGCTTTGGAGGCTGGTTCTTTTTTCGGCATACTTGTAAAGCCTCACAGACTTCATTGCCCTTTCCTTACCTCAAGACAAAAAAGAAAAAAAACAGCCAGCTTCTGAAACGTCGTAAATATTTTAATCCAAAGAATAAGCAGTGTTCAAAGAAACTGACACTGTGTAGATATTTGAGGTCCTCAAAACAAATCACGGTCTACTTCCTAGCAAACGTTCTTGAACAGGTCACGTTCAATGGCCTAATTTAGCCGTTAACTGTTATTATTTCGGAATTATTTCAAGACTGCAGGCAATATGAATTTATCAGCAAAAATCAATAGGCTAACTCTGATATCTTATCTAACGTTTCTGAGCCAAGATCGATTTTACCCAGTAGAAAGTTCATTCGAATTATTTAGTATGCGGCATTAATGTGTTGCGTGTAATGCCCAAAATTGGAAGGTAATACTAACTGTATTCGAAAGGAATAGAGTGTGAGGTTTCGGATTAGATGTATCTAGCTCAGAAAAGGGTCCAGTAGGGTCCTTGTGATCACTGTAATGAGCCTTCTGGATCAATCACAAACGGGAAATATCTTGAACACCTGATCGACCTTCAGCTTTTTAATTAAGAAGGGCCCTATAACATGGAGTCTCCAAGTTTCTTCGTCAGTCAGTAAATCAGTCATGTACGCCAATATTGGTATACCACGCGCTAGTTTCTCCAAAAACGTGCCAAGATGAGATTTGAGCTACAGCAACAATGATATTATTAAGTGTCGAGTATCACACGCATGTCAAACAAAAAATTTTCAATCAGCGATTTATCAACAGACCTTAGAAGAACATATTTATTCTTCCCAAATAACAAATTAACTTGAATGTTTCTGTTTGCTATTTATTTGGATAATCATAGTCTAGTTTATAAACCCTCTGTGCTGCCTGGTTGTTTTCTTTGTGTTCAGTTTGTAGTCACTTCTTGTGCAAGCCAATCTTGGAGTTATGCAGCAGAAGTGAGAGGAACTGTCCACAGCACAGTCCATCTTGTCCCAAGCCACCAACACGTTGCAGATTTTTCGAGTGGCTCATAGCTTCCAACTGCGGGCTTCTATTTGGGTTCTGTTCTTTGGTTAATCGGAAATTCTCCCCAATGCGTTTACCGAAACGAACCGGGGCTCTTGACCGACATTTTGCACACTGCAGTTCCAGTTCGACGAGATGGCACAGAATCTCACAGCGTAGTTCTCTTGCAGCGCAGTCTTCCAAGTCGTTGGCGACTACCACCTGCAGACGTCCACCCCACTGTAGCGTCACCATCAAGATTATCGCCAGAGGCAACAGGGTCTCTTGGCGACACATAGACGGAAGCCGGGTCCTGCTATAGGAACGTAGGGTATTATAGACGGAAGCACATCACAAAAAGGAACACAGCACAACACCATGACTTTGCGCACACTGCATAAAATACACACTCATAAGAGCGAGGGTTACTGAACGGGTTTAGGAAAACGCAGATGTCTCTTAAGTAAGATATTTCAGAGACCCACAAGACCTGACCAATCCCTTGGCTAAATTTAATTTCAACAGGACAGAAAAGGGGTTTGCGCAACTAGACGCTGCAGTTATAAACATTAATACAGTATTTTATAAAGTACACAAATCAATATCTGCAATATCTATTACTATAAATTTGCCTTCGAATAATGCTAGCACACTAAAAGTTTGGTCATTTTACGTTTCGTCCGTGGACCACACCGAGGCTTCTCGAGCATCGCGCCTCTAAGCATTCGCGAACTACACAGTGGGAACCACAGAAATGAAGGAACATAACCGCACCAAACACTACTTTGTAAAATACATGAGATTATAATAACAAAACCTCTTTCGTTATGAGTTCCTTAATTAAGGCTGTCACAGAATATATTCCTACCAATCTGGAAAAAGTTCTTGTGAGATCGTAAAGAATCATGTTTTGTCAGCTCATTGGTCCGTGAAGCTGTGTCTGTTGAAGTATTGCTACTTAAGACATTCACCATGTTTGTTACGTGCTACGCTTTTTCAGCAAACACATTTTTAAATCTTACAGGCTTATCTGTCTGTCATCAATGCCAATAATTATTCCTGAAATGTTGATAATCTGTTAAATTACAAACAGTTTTATAAATAAAAAACATAATGGCCTGTGACATATATCCACATCTTTGGCATGTGTATACAAGTGTACACACACACAACTTTAGAGTAATATAAGATACAGTAAGCAATAATATATTCAAATGTATTTCTGCAATTGAAAAGTGAAAATGGCACAGAATCAGGATAAACAACTAGAACGAAATGATTCAACAACAAAACGACGTTTACCTGGTGTAAGACTGTTACGAGCTTCTGAATCCCGTTCCCTTACTCCGCACGTTTAGAAATTATATTTCAGATACAACACGGTAGGTCTCGTCTCCTGCAGCAAGTGTTGACACTGTCCGTCTTCTATCTGCCTTATATAGGATACTTTAAGATGTCAATTTGACTTACATCTTCACTCAATTACATTAACGCAGTTCGGCTCAATTGTCCCTAGGGCTAGCTTGCCCGAGGCAGTAACCTTACAAAAATAAATTGTAGCACCATCTTCCCAGAAACTTGGCAATTTAATCTAGCTCAAGTAGACACCAAGTTCTTTCGGTGATGGTCCGCTGAGAGAGATTCTTCAATTAGGAATTTCAGTGTTATAAAAACAAATTTCTTTATGACGAAAGTACAGGAGCTTAAAAATACAAATAATTGAAATTTCATATGTACATAAAATAGAAGGAGGCTCATGAAGTTTAATTCTATAAAGTTACAGAACTCGCGGCAAAAAGTACTGAAGTAGATTACTGTAACCTGCTCAGTTATTTCTGCGTTCACAATTAAACCAATCATCCATTCATTTACCTGACCACTCTGTGGTTAACATAGACTTACATCCAGAAATGAAAATTGATAACTAAATTAAAGTCCGTCAGTTTCGGCCTAAATGTCTAACTGTGAATGTCTGTTAAATATAAAAACATCAACAAATAATAATAATAATAATAATAATAATACAAATAATATAGGAGTGTGATTTAGTTTATCAAAGTAAGGTTGTTGGCCAGCCAAGGCACACGTGTTATAATTCCATTTAGTTACAAATGTGAGCTCGAACTCAAATGACCTGGAAATTAAAACTGGCATCCCACCAGTTCGTTCTAATGTGATGACAGGCAATACGCTCTCTAATACGAAAGATTTACTACGATTATTTCGTTAAGTCAGGCAGATTTTAACTTAATTATAACGAATGCCACCCTGGTATCCCTTACGATAATCCGTTGAAAATTGAAATGCAAATTTTTACAACCCTCATGGCGCCCACATATGGATTGTGGAGTATTTAACTATTCAACTAATCGATTAACTACGAGTCAAGCGTCTTCGATCAGTGATTAGCGATTCGTCTATCATGCACAGTCGTTCATACTTTCATTATTACTCATGTTGAACAGGGTACAATGAAAGGAGTGTGTGGTACGATCCTAGATGTAGATTATCGGAAAATGCACATCTCAAAGCTTCTATTAGTTTAATACCATCCTCACCATTATCGATGTATCTCGTTTTCAGTAACGAAGCATCTGGGACCGAGCAGTTAAAAATATTACTTCTGGTGTCGAAGAGGTTCTGACTGATTTGAAAACTTCAGCCGCCTAAGTAAATTTTAGATTGGCTGTTAAATATATTGATAGTTATATTTCAGCATCGAAGTTGATTCGTCTTTCAACCAAGTAATAAACAAACTTTCAGAATGAAGATGACTGTCTTCTGGGATGTTGCGCCTTGCAGTCTGGCAGAAACTGACCGATGTTACAGAGGTGCTTATTGCCTCCGTCATCAGGGCAATGTTTAAATTGATTTAGAAAATGTGAGTTAGGATACAGGGACAAGTCGGACAAGGCAAAAGCTGGCCGGGGACTTGGATGAGGACAGACAGAGCAAGGGAGCCAATAGGAGGAGTCGGCCACAGACTAGTCAAAGGGGTTGGGAGGGCGATTAATCTTTAGTGTGATTACAGAGTTTAATATAGGAAAATAGGTTTCGAGGGTGTGGAATGGATTCGTCTGGCTCAGGATAGACACCGGTGGCGGCTTTTGTGAACACGGTAATTAACCATCAGATTCCATAAGAGGCGGGCCATTTCTAGACTAACTAAACATATTATCAGATTCTAAAAAAGGACTCTGCTCCTTGGAATCAGCACACGCTGCTACACATGTATTTATTCTTGACTACTCGTGTCTAAAAGGGCTAAATATACCCGAACGTCTGAGGAAACCATCTTGTAAATTGGTCTCTGTAAGCCTGCCTATCCATTACGTGGTCCCGCAACAATCATACTGAAGTGACGAGGTAGATGTGCCCTAGCAAAGGGACACTCCTCCGCAGAGATGAAAGTAAGTTCATCTCGTGGTAGCCGCAAGGCACTTTGTGGTGCTTGCGCCATCAGCGACGGTTCCATTAAGTTACGGGGGTCTAAGGGATGAATCAAAACACAGTCCCTAGAGTGAACGCACATAAATACATGCTCCACAGACCTAAAAAGCAGTTTGAGAACATCGCACGTTTTTTTTAACCAAACGAGATACCTGAACTCGCTTTCAGAAGTTATACAGATCGAATCCCAATGTCACACTGTCCTGAGAACGTTTGGCGGTTTCTTCAGATGAATTCCACGATGGCGCCTTATTAACGAATATCACCAACTAATATCTCTCGGATTAATAATAATCAA